ATATTTGGGTTGTCTAATATAGGCTCAATCTATTGCTATACATAGTTCCCACATGACGTCACTACATACGGGGATTTGCCGACCCGGCGCCATTTGTCTTGGCATTCTGTGGGCAAAACAATAGAAAAAGAAGCTGAAACGTGTTAATGTCGTGATAAAGTTGAAAATGGTCATCTCCTGCTGGGTCAATGGATGTTCAAATCGTGCCGGAGGTTCCGTTAAACTTGGATTTTACAGTATACCCATCATTAGACTTCATGAATGTGAGAAGACTAAGCTTTTGTCAGAACAACCACGGAGGTTATGGCTTGCGAAGATAAACAGGCAAGAAACTCCCTCAAAACACGCAAGAATATGCTCGGAGCACTTTGTGTCAGGTGCGTATCGTATCTTATAATGTGTTGACAGACGTAATTTACTCAGTACTAACTTGTGTATGCTGATAGCTGGTAACTTGAGAGTTTCATTATTTAGCGTTAGATTACTTTATTATGAGGAGGATCGGTGTCGCGTCCGAGGCTCTCGAAGGCAACGTAAATGTATTAAATAGATAATAATAGTTCTATGGTGGGCTAAAACAATGTTCACAAACAGCATTGCTTCTGTAAAAAGATCTGTGTCATAAAATAAACTGCTCTTTACGCCTGGAAAAATCAGTTGCCCACCATTCACCAAAACATACGGTCAAAAACGCGGAAATAAACAATAACAGCAATCCAGAGTGTCCGTGTGGCATTAGCATTAATTAAATTAATTGTTAATATAATTAAAATAATTAAATGGAGCTCCAACTGGTATTAAATCTAAAGTTTTTGAGAAATGTTTGCATTGCTTGTTAATTTTTGCTGCATAATTTGATCAAATATGTAAAACATGTCCGTAGCACGTTAAACTGTGGTGCCATTGTATTAATATACAATTATTTGCTCAAAAGTTGCCCTTTTTTTCCAATTTGCGTTTGAATATCTACATTTATTCTCATTCTTCTGTTTAATGGAATGCACAAACACAGCAGCGTGCCATCAAAGATGGCGTCTCCGAGGAGGTCATGTGACATTCATTGGTCTGTGGGAACTATGTATTAGCCGCATTTCCACTGCTGGAACCTCCCCCACAGGGCCATTTACAGGAACTTACGGGGCCCAACGGAGTCTCTCCTCCATGCTAGGTACTCTGTGGTGGGGCTTGAGGTTAACCCGGCGCTGATTGGCTAAAGCTAGAGCAGGCTCTGACGCCAGCAGAAAATACCAAAACAACTGGTTTTTTAAATTCCGGCAGCATTAGCCTTGTAGCATTAGCTTAGCAGACACCACTGGAAACAGCAAAAAACAACAGCAAGACGTACGATAAATGGACGGATGATGAGTTGCAGGTTCATGAGGACGGCTCCAACAGCTGTCCCGCCCCCCTCCTCTTACAAGGACCTCTTGCGGTGGAAACTCAATTTCTGTTATTGATCATTAAAGTGTATAAAACAGGGGTGTCCACACTTTATCAAATCAATATTTACCTCTACCTTGGATTTATGTGGGCACTACCATTCGGAATATCACATTTGGTTTTTGATACAGATGTGATTACCAATCAAGTATTGACCGTGTTTTTTCAAATGTCATTTGTAAACAGTGCAGTTAGTGCAGTGCTAAACGTCTTTTGTGTGTACTTAGCACACTTGTATAAAGTAGTAATTTTAAGAATTTAAGTGGACTTAGGGAGCTTACATTACAGACAAAAGGTTTGGACACACTTTTTCATTCAATGAGTGTCCTTTCTTTTTATGACTATTGACTGTAGATCCACACCCAGGCTGTGTAAGGGCTATTTGACTAATAAGGAGAGTGGTGGGTGCTGGGCCAGATGACCCGGCCTCCACAGTCACCGGACCTGAACCCAATCCAGATGGTTTTGGGGTGAGCTGGACCACAGAGTGAAGGCGAAAGGGCCAACAAGGGCTAAGCATCTCTGGGAACTCCTTCAAGACTGTTGGAAGACCATTTCAGGTGACTACCTCTTGAAGCTCATCAAGAGAATGCCAAGAGTGTGTGAAGCAGTAATCAGAGCAAAAGGTGCTACTTTGAAGAACCGAGAATATAAGTAATTTTTTCAGTTGTTTCATACTTTTTTTTTTGTATGTACACAATTCCACATGAGTTAATTAATAGTGTTGATGCCTTTAGTGTGAATCTACAATTTTCATAGTCATGAAAATAAAAACATTCTTTGAATAAGGTGTGTCCAAACTTTTGGTCTCTGCTGTATATAAAATAGTAATTTTAAGAAAAGTCATGGAGACTTTTTATACATGCCTTTTCTAATTGTACATTTTAACTTGCTTGAGTTAAAAAGTACCAGAGCCAAACAATTTTCTAGTTTGTGACTGTACAAGGGCAATACAAATAAGTCTGATGCTGATTCTGATGTACATACTAAGTCCTTTGGCCTGTTCTGTCCTCTACACTTCTCCATGGACATTACAGAGACAGCAGCTGCTGTACTTTTGTGCTTGGTCGATCACACAAAAAAAGAATAGACTGTGTTAAAACGAGTTTGTGTTAACAGCGTTATTAAAGCGTTTAACCCTCCAAGGTCTAGAGTCATTTTGGTTTTTTGTGTGTAAAATTGCTCATAAAACAGTCATCTTTTGATGCAGAGTATACTTTGTTTTTTTCAGTACAACCTGGGGTTTTAGAATATTCATATTTTGGAGCTGTCATATCAATTATATAATGATTATGGAATCATGAAGACAAAGAAAAAAATGAAACAGAAAATCAATTTCACAAAATTGTATTGAAAAAACACAATGAAATGCTATAAACAACTTTTTAGACTCCATAGAAATGTTATTTATGGTCTTGGGGATAAGGGGGAAAAATATTGAACCAGTGACTATTATAATTTTTTACAAAATTCCACTATAAAAGCCAAAAACGCTGTACTCTTGATGCCCTTCCTCAAGCAGTTTGTCTATGAGGCTGTGGTTGCTTCTGTATCACAGCTGTAAAATACGTAAAACAAAACAAACTAAGACAAAAAAATAAATAAAACATCTAATTTATATATACAAATACATTATATACACATAATATCATTTTACTGTATTTATTATTGTCTATTCTCAATAATGTGCACTCCTGGCTCCTCTGAGCGCTGCTGCCTATGCAGCAAAAAGTACACACAGGAGTGAGAGATCCTACTCTCTGACGATCTTTGTGCGAGTCCCCGTTTGAGTAAACAACTTTACAATTGGCTGTGTGAAGCTCACGGGGCACAGCTCGAAGATCCGATTGGGGGACTGACTTTCATACACAGGGCACAGGCAAACCCGAAGCCCGTTTTGGAAAGGCTGGAATGTGTACTTCATGGAGAAAAAAAAAGCAAGTTGCTAGCTTTTACGGTTCGCGAGTAAATTGATCACTTGTAAAACATGTGCGCAACCATCGTCGGTGATGGCATCGTCTTTGGAAAAACTAATACAGGCAGACAAAGGCACAGTGCATCTTTACCGTGCTTAAAGACAGGTTGACAGGTTTTCTTTGTGGGCCATATAGACATTTTCTTCACTCTTCCAGTTGGGTGGAAAACACAATTTAAAAACATTGTAGCATCAATACTCCAATGATATCCTATCCTACCTAAACATTTCTGCTTTTTCACAAGTGCACAAGTATTTTTCTGACAAGTGCCTTCTTCCATTTGGAGATTCATATTTTGGGATCAAATTGGTTCAGTTCTTTCAGGATTTTCAGTGGCAAAGGTGTTTGCATGCATTAATAATCTATTCAACACGTCTTGAAAAGTTAGTTCAAAGCGGTGTCTGTAACTTGTTTTTCACATGATGCAAGTTTTAAGTAGCACATGTTTTATTAATGGCGAGCTTCTGGGGACTTGCTTATGAGTCTCAAATGGTGCCTTCGCTGTAATGTGGAGTGTAACTTCACAGATATATTAAAGTCATATTGGATACTTCTGTACTAGTGATACAGTAGCACAGGAGCACGTAAATACAAATTGACATAATTTACATCTAGAGCTTGTTCATTACAATGAAAAATCGTATTGTTGGATGTTCAACATGGGGAAATGAGCATAAACTACATATTAAGGGCTATTAAACCTATCCACTGAGCTACTTAAAGCTGGTGCACTGAACTATGGTGTTTCATAAATAATACATTTTTATGATCAGACCACAACATGCAGTTTTTAGCTTAGAATCATGTTCTTTGCATATAACTATTTGACACTTTGGGCTGAGACCTGATTTATTGAATGAGGGTGGTTCTCTCGTTGTTCTGTCTGAAAAAGCTAATCTCAAGATGTGAGGTATGAAAGTTAGGTAGCCCAGCTTTAAGAAATTAACTTCAATAATAGGTCAATGTTTTGTTGCGTGTCACCAAGCCCCGGTGGTCCAAGATGGCGCCCTATTCAAATTAATGGCTTGTGCGCATGGGACCTACAGGAGGACCAAAAGATCAGCGGAACTCTCCCATATTTGGGCATCGTCTGGTCCTCCCGGTTCTGCGCAGTGGACGAGCTCCCATGATGCATTGCCACAAATACGCGTGTGTGGCTCTCACGCACGTGCACAGATGGGCTCGGCCGCACTTTGACCAATCAGAGCTGCTGATCAGAGCGGAGTTAGAGCGGAAGTTAGAGCGGGAGCAAATCGTGCAAAGTTTGTGGCACTAATGTGTAGATTTAAAGAAAAGTGAAGGATTTAAGAATAAAGGATAAAAGAAGAAAAAATCAGGATGACGAGGGATACTGAAATCCCCGCAAAATCCGACCTTTATGAGCGCTGTAGATGCTCTGTCGGCTGAGGTCGAGCTGTTTCAGTTTACATTGAGTTCTATGGGGAAAATTCCTGGTTAACCCACATGAATTTAGTCTTGTTTAGTCTGCAGTACCGTGAGAACCCCCAGAGCACATGGGTCCTTCAACTCCAAGCTACCCAATCCAGATATTATAATAGATCTATGCGTGTCACCCATCCTCACCTGCTCTTGCGTCATGTCATGAAGCTGTGAGTGCCAGGAGGCGGAGTCAGAACGTTGATAGGAGGGGGGCGGGGCCGAGTCCTGCAGGATGATTGGGTCTCTCTCCTGACACAGGCTGGTCAGGTGGCCAATGTACAGCTTCAGTTTGCTGCGGTTCTGATTGAGATCCAGGAGAGTGGAGAGCATCTGAGAGGACATGGGACAGAGCTGTGTCAGTTGGTACCAAGACAAAAACATGAACCAAGAAAGAAGAGTGACATAAGCTAACATTACAGGGCAGATATTGCAAAACTTTCATGGCGGAGGTGTTTTTTCAAAATTGTGATTTGTTTAAAGTAAGCTTGCTAATGTTCCGTCTACATTAGATACGAGCAAGTTAATTCAACTAGGCTCTGCAGCAAGCCTGCCAGGCCCACTGTAGGAAAATCAATCTGTAGTTAGAAAATTATCACATTATCTAATGTCTGATTTGTTACACAATTTTTGTTACTTTTGCCATACTCTTTCTTTAGTTTTGTGACAAACAACAATGTATTGTTCATGGAAAAAACAAGTTGAATATCCTAGCTTTAAATGCTTTTTTCTTTATATAAATTCCGTTAAAAGAATCCTCTAACATTGGACAGGTCTCCTGTTACTTTGTAGTAAGTGTTGTGCATGTTTAATATGAGTGGATTAGTTAGAAGCTCTCTGTGTCCATGCACATATGTTCATCCGCAGTGGTAACTATACAGTGCCTCTGTTTTGTATTGGTGATCTACACATTAAAGAGTTCTTACTGCTTGTATTTGAGTCAATTAATATTTCTATTTTGACATATATTTGTCAATTATTACCTTATTACATATCTCTTCTATACAGGCATTATTCCCTGTAGATGTAGATCATGTTTAAGGACCAAAAACCCAATGCATAACATTTGTTCATATTGAAAGATGATTCTGCAATGAAGGATGGACAGCGAGGGGTTTGATGGAGACAGCAAATGACAAGTGTAATGTAAGCACAAAAATGAAAGCAATGAGCAGAGTTATGTCCATTTGAGACAGAGCGGCAGAAGGTCTACAACTCCTCTGACCGGACGGATTTCTTTTTTCGGTTAGGGCCGGGCGATATACAGCACAGACCAAAAGTTTGGACACACTTTCTCATTCAATGAGTGTCCTTTCTTTTCATGACTATTGACTGTAGATTCAGACCCAGGCTGTGTAAGGGCTATTTGACCAATCAGGAGAGTGATGGGTGCTGGGCCAGATGACCTACTACATCCTACTCTGTACAAACAAGTAATATAAGTAAAAATAGAATAAGGCATACATAAGAAATACAAAATCTACAAATTTTCTTGAAATTACTACTATATATATAAGTGCACTAATTACACTTAAGATTATTAAAAATACTACTATATACAAGTACACACAAGAGACATTTAGCAATGTACTGTAATCAATAAGGAAGTCATTAGTACGAAGGGATTCAAGACCCATTCTCTGTGGCCAGTTGGTCTTCTAGGAATGTGGGCCAAATCCTCACTATTCTGAATACATTTTTTGATAAATACAGTATCAGAAATGTGAAGATTGTGAAATGTGAGATTTTTTTTTCAGGGGAGACAGCATATTACAGGAGCCCAGGTTTTTGTACATAAAACCTTGTAAACACATTTTACTCGACACAGAGCTCCGAGTAGATGCTTGGGGACTTATGAGTCACTCATGAGAAGTCATTTTGCTGTCATTTTGGTAGTGACAAAGAAAAAGTGTAATAAAGTGCCAGTGTCACAAGAGCATTCACCATGCGAAACAATGCCTGGGAACTGGGGAGACGAGCGGTACACCAGCTGTACTCTGACATTCTGGATTTAAGGAGGAGAGGGCTGACGAGGGCAGGACCCCCCAGGAGTGGCCCAGATAAGACTCCAGTCCCCAGAGAGCAGCTGAGGTTAAGTGTAGAGGAAACATGTGGAGGAGGCTGAAGTGTCCATAAACCGGGCTGCATCTGTCTGCACTAGACTGGAGTTCACTGGGGCAGACCGGAGCCTACATGGGGCCTCACTGAGGCCGCTGGTCATCTTCACTCGGCACACACGCTAAGACTGTTGTATGGAGCTTTCCTTCAACAACAATTATTATCATGCTTTCTTATTCCAAAAGAGATACCGAGCATTAGTCATGCCCCTTGAACGTGATACAGACTACACAATATTATATACATACATACAAATATATACATATATTAGGGCTGTCAAATGATTAACATTATTAATCGAGTTAATTATAGCGTAGAAATTCATTACCGTAATTAATCACATTTCAAACTATCAGAAAAATAAATGCCATATTTTTCTGTAAATGGTTGTTTGAATGGAAAGATAATTGACAACATAGTGTACATATGTACTGTATTTGTTTATTGTAACAATAAATCTACATAAAACGGCATTAACATTATTAACATTTTCTGTAGTTTTTAAGTTGTATTAAAAATTGTTTAAAAACCCGTAAGTTAATTGGAGAGACCTGCCACGGACTAACTTTGTACCATTTTATCATTGATGGCTGTACAGCTTACAAGAGGTTGTGCTAATGCTAACTAATGCCTACCTTAATTAAGTGTCCTACCACAGCTTGTTTTATGTTAGGGCTGGGAAAAATTGCAGTAATTGTTTAATTTTACCCGTGTTAAAATAAATCTACGCATTGATTAATAAGCCCGTCACTCTCTCCTGGCTGTGGCCACGGAGCCGCAGAAGACTTCCGTGTCCTGTGGCTAATGCTACGATCTTCTGCGATGTGTAGCCATTCAGAAGACGAGGTGACGAGGAAACACTGGAAAATAAAATATTATTATAATATTATTATAATATAATATAATAATGTCAGTGGCATGACGCACTAGAAAGTCTGCGGATGTCTGAGATGGATCGTCTCCACTTCTTTGACCATTACCTTTTCTTTTGATAACGCTTTTTCTCCGTTAAAAACAAACTATCGGCAATGCATCCTCTTCGTCCGCCATGATTGTTCACTCTGAAGTCACGCTTGATCTCTACAGATTTTGTGAAACTCCTGTCTGACCTGGGAATGCTCGGGATTGAAATCGGTTTGTGTGTGATGTGTGTGATTTGCGTGATTTTGCTTTGTGGCTACGCACCACACATTCTACGAAGAAAATGTGGTTTGACCCTTGATTTTTTATCCCTCTCAGGTTTGGAAAGAATCGTCTCGTGTTAACCAGGCTTTAGCTGGCAATGAAAAAAGCTACAGAACCCATGCTTACAAGTAATGCTGCGCGAGCGAGGCATCCGTATGCCTTGTCCACATGCGAACCACAACAAACGACCCTGGAGGAAAAGTTTGGTGCAAGAGGGGGACAGCGTTCAAAGAAATCACTAACAAGATAACCAACGCAATTGCGGGAAAGGTTGCTAGAAATTGCCGTCCTACAAAATTGTTGATGATGAGGGATTGTGTCAGGAACTTAAAATAAGCTGCTTAACTAATGCACTCACACTTTCATTGCAGAAGATTTTTCTAGAGGTCTAAACTCAGGGATAACATAAAACAATCCCGGAGACAGATATTGTTTATATGGAGTTGCACATTATTCCCATTGCATGATAGCATTTTGTTTTTTTAAATGTATGGTATTACATTTAATCAATGACTTAATGTTTATTAGAAGCTGAAAATACAATTAAAACTGCATTTTTGGGCATTGTAAACCTGGGTGTAAGTCCAATCCAACACTTTCACAAAATTGTAGCAAATGTATGCTATTAAATTGTAACATAAATAAAAGAATAAGGAGAAGACACTGTTTTGCATATTTGTTGCAGCCCCACACGTCACATTTTAAAGTGGTGATGCACTGTACAAATATTCAGGCCATACAAAATATTTAGCTCAAGTTGAATACCCCTGAAACGTATTAAGGAGAACTCAATTCAAAAGTAAAAGCATCACAAGGAGTGACTCTAATGCCCCCTGTTGCTCCTGGCTGGTAGATCTCCAACTGGAGCCAAGTGATATTTTTCCGCATCTTTGGTGGAACAAGATTCAAAATTTACACATTAAACATTTAGTGCCACACTTTATGAAACATTGTAGAATTAATTAGCTAGGTCTCAATATGATAAATTACAAATGAACGTAACCTTAACACTTTTCATAGACTGAGACTTGGGACGATTGTAGTATTAACTACATACAAAAATCCAAACAATAGTATTAATCAAACACAATATTTCCAATACACAATGTTTGTGTAATAAAAAGGTTGACATTGGTTTTCAAGGCTTATTAAAGTGTCCAACCACATCCTGTTTTATGAATGTTAAAGATGCACTGCACATTTAATGACTTGTGGCTATTAAAGTCCTTATTTCTCCCACTTTGTCACTGTTGCACCCAGAGGATATAAACACACCCCAATCCTGTATTAGGAGGTGTGTTTAGTGAGGTTTAGTGAAGCTCTTCGGTGGCTTCTGCTGCAAACAGGGGGAAGACAGTAAAAACTACAAACACATGGCGCCGTAAAGATGGCGCCGTGGCAAGAGCTCTGGTGTGTGTCGTCTTCTCTGTCTGATACAAACTGGGGTAGTCTTGCACAGTTTTTCCAATGTCGTTTTACTGCAAATGGCAAATAAATGAATCTGAATCTGAACACTGTTCCTATGTAGTGTTCTGTGAGCCAAGTCAACATTTTAACTTTCTCCCAAACAGTTGTAAAGGAAACTAATTGTGATCAACCCAAATGAGGTTGTATTGTCCTGTAATTTATAACAAATATTCAGCATTACTTGTCTTAATCATTTCATGTTAAGGACACAAAAAACTAAAAAATACATTGCGAAACATGTATAAAGACAAAATAAAAGGCTATCCACGGCCGGAAGAGAAAGAAGATGAATTTGATTTGGGGGTTTTTTCCCCAAAAAATGAAAATGACCGACTCCAACCAAAACCATGCGATTGTACAGGATGTTTTTCACCTCAGTAATTTCCAAAATGAATTTAGGGGCAACATAGTGACATCATACTAAGGGTGATACAGGAGCTTGAGGACAGAAAGGGTACAGTTACATGTTTGTGTCAGAAGTTCCTGATATTAGCGTGGAGGGATTTAAAATCAGCTCCAGGTCTGTGACTGATGAGAAACTATGATGTCACATAAAAGCTCAAACAATAATATCTCTCAGTTCTGTATAGAATATGAGGATACATATAATGGATTATGATAAGAGCTCCATCTATCAGGTAGACGTGAAAAATTACATTCTGCTAAAACTAATCTCACACTTTCAAATTGTGAAGAGGGTATAACTTTTTGAAGACAAGCACTGGTTAAACCCTCTCATGCTCACCCCACAACCACCTGATTGGTCGAAATCAATTAAAATTTGCGAGATCCTTTGTCATTGGTTTAACTATTTTCCTCTAGCAAATCCTAGTGGTAGATAATATACCAAGGAGAAGGACTATTTGAAATATATAATTGTTGAAAAATACTTAATAGTACAGTGTTTGATACTCAGCAATATACATTCTTGTAAAAGTGAAATACAATTTAAGATCCTTAAAGATACCTTTAAGTGAAATAGTCGTTTAAAAAATCCCCAAATGTAGCCAGAGCTAATTGCCCACACAACACAGTTTTGTGTTGGTTGGCAAAAGCACTTTCTCCAAGGGATGCACAATAAAACAGTGTAAATAATTCATAGTTCATTTTTTTTAACCTATCGGCATGAGAGCGATGAGTAAAATTGGGCTGATAACCACAACCCATGTGTATTGCTGGGTTGCAGTTGACATCACGCAGTGCCGCAAAAGCCGAGCGCAGGCAGAACTGTTATTGCTGACAAAGCTCTACCCAACGAGCTCAATAACTTTTACTGTCGCTTGGAAGCCGCTGATCCCTCATCTGTCGTCTTCAATGACTGTATAGATAGAGCAGCCTTTACAGTGACACAGGAGGAAGTGCAGCGGGTCCTGTCCAGAACCCCGACCCGAAAAGCTGCAGGCCCAGACGGTGTCCCCCCTCGCGTTCTGAAGCTGTGTGCAGAACAACTCGCCCCTGTGCTAACAGACATGTTCAACTTGTCACTCAGGAACTGCACGGTGCCGGCCTGCTTTAAAAAATTAAAAGTTTTGAAAGAAAACTCCAGTGCCGGGCCTTAATGACTATCGTCCAGTTGCCCTAACGTCTATTCTAATGAAGACCTTTGAGTGGCTTGTATTGGACTTTGTTAAGAGCCAGATCCCCTCCGGTACCGACTGGCTCCAGTTGGCGTTCAAAGAAAACAGGAGCGTTGAAGACGTGATCTCTTTTGCACTGAACTCTATGTACAGTCATTTGGAAAATGCAAGAATTCTGTTCATTGATTACAGCTCTGACTTTAACTGTCTAGTCCCGGGTAAACTGGTTGAAAAACTCAGATCTCTCAGCCTGTGCAAAGCCATGCGTAAATGGATTTACAGCTTTCTCACCGACAGCTTTTTCTTGTCAACTGGAGTAAAGACAACAACCTCCTCTTGAACATGTCCAAAACATGTGAACTGGTGTTCGACTTCAGACGTGGTCACTCTCTCTCCCACTCACCTGACGTCATCGATAACTCTCAGGTGGAGATTGTTGAGGAGTGTAGGTTCCTTGGTCTAACTTTGTCCAATGATTTGAGATGGGACAAAAACACCAACCATACTGTTAAGAAAGCTCGCCAACGTCTATACTTTCTGCGGAAACTTAGGGAATTCACAATAAACTCTAAGATTTTGCTGAACTTACACCGCTGCACCACAGAAAGCCTGCTTGCTGGTGCGATTACTGTGTGGTTCGACAGCATCACAGCCAAAGAAAAGAGAGCTCTGAACAAAGTGGTTTGTTCTGCTCGGAGGACTGTGAACTGTGAGATGCCCGTTCTGGAGGCTCTTTATGAGAGTATACTCATAAACAGAGCCCTGAGTATTGTTAATGACTCCTCTGGCCATCCTGGAGCGGCCTTGTTCCGGCTTCTTCCCTCAGGGAGAAGATTAAAACTAACAGAGCGTGCTGAGATCTGATTCTCTTTCTAGCTCTTTCGTAACTTCATAATAATGCTTTTATGAGTTTTATATGTGCCTCACTGTGTCTGGCTATTTTCTTATTCTTTTTTTTCTGTGTGTATGTGTGTGCTTTGTGGTGTTGGTGCCCCCGGTGTCTCCTGTTTGTATTCCAATGCAGTTTTTTTCTGCAAATGGCAATAAATTGATTCTGATTCTGTCTCTGTCCTCCAAGGGACAGGAAGTAAATCTCCCCATTAAGAACAATGTAAATATTCACTGATTTCGACGTGTGCCATGTGCTGTATTTTGCAAAAATGCATTTTTCTAACGGTAGTCGATTTTTAGGAAATGCCTAAAATGCATGGATCTATAATAATAACTGGATAGGGTATTACTAGCTTTTAGCTGTCCCACTCTGTGGAGTCCTTCCGTTTCCTGGGCACCATCATCACCCAGGACCTCAAGTGGGAGCCGACCATCAGCTCCCTCATCACGAAGCAGAGGATGTACTTCCTGCAGCAGCTCAGGAAAGCCAAGCTGCCTGCACAGATGTTGGTTCAGTTCTACACGGCCATCATCGAGTCCATCTTCATCTTTTTATTTATACATGCCTTCTTGATCTTATTCTGTTTTAACTTGTTTGCACCGAGAGCCAAAACAATGTCCTAGTTTGTGACTTCGTGTTACTCACATGGCAATAAAAGGATTCTGATTCTCTTTGATGTTATTTTTGTTATTCATTTTAATGTGTATTTTTTTTTTTATGTATGTTTTTGTTTCTTTGTGTAAACTTGTTATTGTAATATTAATTATAAAAATAAAATAAAATTACGTATATCATCTCAGAAGATTCGGCAATAACAGAAAAGTTTATATCAGATATCGAAATTGGCAAACATTTTTATAGTGTGGCATCATTACTGTCTCCACTATAGAACAAAACAGATTAACAGATTAAATTTTATCTTGTCATTTAGTAGTTTTGAGAGTGATTCAGGCATGTTTTGGTCATTTGTATTCTTTCAGATACCATCACATGCCATTTTTCTTAATCTGTGAAATAGGTTAGATCTGGCAGTGTCACACAGCCATTTTTGAGAATACAAATTCAAGCCCGAGTGTGAAACTTACATCTGGGTTTGCTATGTTATTCATGTTTGTTCAGGATAAATAGTTCAGACAGCATCAAAGTTGCTGCCTTGTGGAAACTACAGAAAAACGGTGACTTTGCATCTGTGAATAGGATTTTTGATTAGTTAACCACTGGACAATGGACAGTAAAAATGCTTGATAAAAGATTTGTTCAGAGGGCAGAACATGCAAAAGCCACTTTTCAAAGCTTTGGACGATATATCATGAACTATACATAATTCATGCATTCAGTGACCTTTATTTATACATGTTGAAGTCTTGACTAAATTGGCCACTGTTTTGACTTACTTTGGTATGGCTTATCTTTTCTGAAATTGTAGTATGTGACGCCTCAACAATCAAAGACAAACTGACAGGACGACACAAGATCAAAGTCATGATTGGAGTGAAAATGGATGACAGATGACTGAGCGCACTCACAATGACTGGACCCACATTTGCAACAGTGTGGCTCACCCTTCTGTACAAAAGTGTGGTTGGAGGGGGAAATAAAGGCATAGGATTGGCTATGCCCAAATGCCCTCCTCGTCATCCTGTGGTTAGTGGAGCTCCGGCCAGAGAGAGCAGAGCAGAGAGTTAGTGAGGACACAAAGCTGCATCATGTTTACAGCCTGAACAGTACATCGCCCATATCATGAGTAGTGATGGGTGCTTTATGACTCCTTAAGGCTGGATCTGGAGGACATTCATGAAAAGAGGACGCTGATGTTAATATTTTCCTTACTGCCTTGTTCTTTGTAGGTAGATATGATACAGAGGAGGAAGTGTTGCATAGTTAAGTTTTAAGAGAACAATTTTGGTCCTTATGGTCCGTTCAGAAGCATCCATCCATTTTCTTTCCCTTAATCCATTTCTGTGTTGGGGGGCGGCAGCCAGAGCTGCACCCAGTGCATAGAGCCCCAGCCCCTCACTGATCCTCCTGCAGGTGGTGAGTCCACAGGAGCTTTGATCTGAAGCGAGGGCTTCAGGCAAAGTGGAGTTAAGTGTCTTGCCCAAGGACACAACAAAAGCAGACATCAGTGGGAATCTTGAAGTAGGCCTCCTGGTGGGCTCAAACCCATGACCTTCAGGTCCAAAGGCCAAAGCTCTACCAACTGAGTCACTGTCGCCCCGCCATTCAGAAGCAGGGAAAGCCAAATGTAAAGGAGGATCTTTTGTGGCATCATTATTTATATTCACAGAAGTGTGCGGTAAGAAAAAGGGTACTAAAAGAGTAATACACCTTTGTGTGTCCTGTTGGGGGACTAATAAAAGTTTCTTTGTGGTTGCGGGTGATCAGAAGGTTTAAGTTTGATAGAAGGAAAGCCTGGTAGGAAGTTGAAGGATTGCAGTTTCTGAGACTCATTTTGTTCCTAGTAAGTTCTAATAGTAAAGGTATAATATAGGCATTAAATAACTTTACAGCCTGCCATTTTGTTTGTTTCCTTGCCCACCAACCCCTCACGCATACATACAAAAATGTCAACAAATATCCACCTTATTACATTATTACCTCACGATGGCATGGACAATTATCAGTGCCATATCAAAGAAGCGTTTGGGGAGAGGGAAGGCTGGGCATCTCTACTCAAATTACTGCCCTCAGCTCCCAGCTCTAGATAAAACATGGATAGAATCTAGATCCTCTAGAAATCAACAAGAACTATATTCTATACTTTCCATTTTGACAGGTGAATGTCCCCTAAAGTCTGTCCGCGGAAAAGCACAGTAGCTATTAAAGACTCATAAATCCCATCACTGTGGAAAGCTGTGGGTGTGGGACATGGTCTGACCTGGTCCGGGGAGGGCTTGTGATTGGGCGCCACAGGGTTCGGAGCAGACACCTTCAAATGGTCGTCATCGTAGTTGTCGGCCATCAGCTTCATCCTGTTCTGAGTCTGCACACAGAACAGAAAAACATCTATGTTATGTCTGTTTTAATGCCATAAAACAAAACGGATATTTTTGCCATGGGTGTCTGGAAGCTTCACTAAAACACACAGAAACATTAAGACAAAAACAAAATCATGTCAAAGATTGGTTCCAAAAATGTGTTCTGTCCACTGTATGCAATGCTATTCAGGCTTGGACAATTTCCTTTTCACATTAAATTATGCTTGTGTTCGTGTTAGTACACGGGCCATAAGTTTATCTAGTCCAAATATAACCCCAGAAGTTGGTAAAATCCCATTCCTGGCACACAAAGACATGTTCCCCCCTACTCATGACTGACATAATGTGCCATCACTGTCACAAAAACCTGTCTTAAAAATGTCTTCTCCTCCTCGACTGGAGCCTCAAGTCTTTACAGTGGAGAGGAGGGATGTGGGGAGGGAGCTGGTCCAAATCTGTCACTCTTGTACAATCTAAATCCCCATAGCCTGTCTCTGAGCCCAGGCAGTGTGCGGCTTAAGGCCACCACACTGCGCATATACGACACAAGCAATCTTTAATAAACGTTCGTTGCTGACGAGAAAATGCAGACGGCAAAATAGAGAAATTAAGGTAATGGAGAACGGCAAAGAGAACGGCAAAGAGAACGGCGAGACATGTTTCACACTTAAGGAGACATCGTATTGTGTTTATGAGAGCACAACACATCACAAAAAAAACAACTTATTTAAAACTTAAGTATTTATTCAGCCACTAATTTTGCAAGTCCTCCCTCTTAAAAAGATGAGTGATGCATTCAATTCTTATCATCGGAGGCAGAATGAAAAAACTAGATTTTTAAGGAATTTAATTTTAGATTTTTAAAGAATTTGCAAATTATGATGGAACATAAGGATATAGTCAATGACACTAAATCTAAATGCTTCTTTTGAAGTGGAAAGACTTGCACAGTAGCGTGCGTAGGAGGTCACAGAGCTGATTTAAGATCAGAAGCCTGGGGCGTGCACAACATCTCATAAATTATATGAATAGTGCAAACATTTTAAAAATGCAATTCATTTCCCTTGACAAACCGTATATGAGTGCATAAAAGGTATTTTTTTATAGGAGAAGGAAGGAGGCATACAAATAATTTGTACAAACAACAAACACCATGTGTTTTGTGTCTTAACTGGTCCTGGAAATAATAAAATAATTCTGTAGCCAGCTTAAGCCCAGCAGAAATACTCACTTTCATATAATTCATTCTGCTAAAATACATTTGGCACCTCTGTGGTCGGATCATGTGCATGTACTATAGATAAGCAGTGACTTATTTTCTTTATAATGAAGGTCTGTGTACATCCATCTGTTATTTCCACTCTTTTATTTGAACGCCGTCCCTCTGAATAACTCCTCAAATGATAAAATGTAACTTTCTCTTTGTTTCTCCTGCTCTTTCTACTCTTTTCAGTCCATTGTGTGTGTTTTTTTTTGCCATTTTTATTCCAACTTGTACAGTTTTTAGCAGAGGCTTGACTTCTGAGCTCCTTAAAGCGGCCTTGTATCCGTGACTAATTCTCTCCCACTGGTTCCTTCCTAAAAAAACATGGCTTCATTTGCATATCGCGCGGCTTCTTCCCTTCCACGCTGCCTCTTTGCTTTTGTCGCTTCTTTGGTCTTTTATCTGCCTAATTTGTCCAAGTTCCCCTCCGCCCCCGTTGCACAAAAGCTCTGCACTTTGAACACATGTCAACATCAAATGGACCCGTTTTATTAACAGCTAAAAATATATATGCACTGTGTTGAAGAAAATCCTGTCCAATCCTGCAGCCTGTTGTAGCAGTGCAGATGACATACATACAGTCATACATACTGTAAAGATCCGTGGAGAAGCATGTCAGCTTGCAGGAATTCAGTATAAGCGAGGTTTAATCAAACATACTGTTATGCTTTAAAGTATACAATTTGGCCTTTTACACCTTTGCCTAGGGACTACAGTTGGAAACTGTACATTTACAGAAATGTTGATTAACGTCTACTGTCGATTCCAATAAATTAATACATGAAAAATATTGTTTTTGTCATATTTTGGAGATTATGAAAAATACCACAACAATGTTTTTTTAACTCTGTGTTTGTGGCCATTTGTTGTCCAAAAAATATGTTTAATGGACATGCTCAAAATAGGAGCTATTTGCCAAGAAGAATCAAAGCTTTACCATCAGACTCCAAGCTAAAGACCCCAAGCTGTCATCGACAGCTTGGGGAAATACACGTAGGGATGGAGACTTCTGATTTGAGTGGCTCACATTATAATTTCAAAATATAAAACGCATTTATTTGCAAATATATTAAAGCTGCACTAACTGACTTTATTTTTGTATTCATTAAGAAAATGCTATCCATGTCCATGTAGTGCATTGGGATATACGTCCTTTTGAAGAAAAAGTAACGCAGATTTGTGCTGGCGTGACATTATATTTTAGATCGAGTTTTGATGAAACAAGGAAGAGAATGTGTTTCGGGTCGCAGATTGTGACCAATCACAGCGCACCACTAGCCCCCACTTTCGTGAGAAATCTACAGGTTCATTAGCACAGACAGCTGAGTTAGCACAACAATCGGCGGAGCTAACCTGAAACTTCCTCGTCTTCGTCACTGGTTACTGCTTAAATAGCGAAACAGCCATCCAAAAGAACGTCCCGTTCCTCCGCGCTTCCCGGTTCTATCGTTCTATGGTCACGCCATCCACGTGCAAATCCATGTCCATGTATTATCCATATTGGGAGACGCTAGCTCCTTCAACAACAGTGGGTGTGTGTGGGGGGCGATAGCTTCGTGGGTGCGGGGAGGGGAGCAGAAAGAGAGAGGCCAGCGAGTCCGCGGCTTCAAAATCCCAAAGTCAGTTAGTGCAGCTTTAATAATGAAACAACGAGTGAAAAAAAAAAATCATTCATAATGTCCATAATATGGCTCTAGAGAAGGACAATTTGTGCCTGGGTGCATACTGTAGAACATTCTGAACGCATACATTGATGTTGCAACATCATTTAAAGGACAACTCACCCTCAAATCTACTTTTTTTTGCTGATAAACGGTATAAATGAGTGTCCAATAGTGTTGTCTACATATCCTGGTCATAATTTTGTCACTTTGGTGCAAATTAGTTGAAAGATCAACTTTCTGCCTAAAACCGTCTGTGAGGCGCCATCTGCAGGCAACCTGTATTACTACATTAGAATTTTGAATCTGGCGCCACCATTGCCGCAGGAGTGGCTCCTTACGTCAGTTGCCCTGACGCCTGAGGTATATTAACGGCCCAGTCTCGGTCACGCCCCTGTAGCGAGTTGGAGAAGGAATAGCAAAGAGTATTTTCATTGATTGTCAGGTTTGCGATTAGTTATAGCATTTAGGTAGATTTTTATTTGCATAGCTGCTTGTATTATAGCTGCTAGCTCTACTAGCGGCGCAAGCTAGCGGCTCAAATTGATAGGGGTGAGGGCCGCCGTCTGCTTCCTCTCTCAAGAGAAGTCCTCCACCTCCTAAGACAGCACAGAATCTATAGAGCTGGTGTCGTTGTGATCACTCTCCATCTTTGACACGGCCAATGCTGATGTCAAGTGTCACTCACAGCCTAGACCCGCCCAACATTCACCCCTTTAAGTCCCCTTTAGTCCTCCGGGCTACACCCATTTGGAGGAAAATTCTTAAATTAAAAAACATTCCAGGAATTTTGAGCATCTATTCCCCAAATTACCATCCTCAAATGCATTTGAAGCCCAAAGCAGTATTAACAACTTTTGAATTTAAAATTGCTTTCTAATGTACTCAAAGAACATGCAGTCTGTAGTAATTCACATCCTTTTGTAGCTTTGTGAGGATAAGTTTTGTTCTATTACCTTACCATACATTGTTCCTATTCACACTAATTGCTGAAAAGGCTGACCACAACTTTAGAATTCTCACTTAATCCAATCAGCACATCTCGCTCCTATAGTCTGCTGACAATGGCCACGACGAGTTACAAATGAAGGAGTGAAACAAACGCTGCAAAGTGCTGAGTCCAGATCTTTGCTAAAATGATTCCTTGGTGATAAGGCCCAGGGGAATCAAAAATGAAATGAGTTCTTTAATCTTTCTCCAGCCGCTCATAAGAAGACCATTGTTTGTTTCGCAGCAATTATGGAATAATGAAAAGCTGCTGACTCATGCATGGGAAAGAACTTTATCATCAAGATGTAGAAATGAGATTGGCCCCAGTTTGACCTGCTTGGAAAGGCGCTGCGCAAGTGGGGACTTAAAAATGACAAATACGTGTTGAGAGATTAACTGTCCCAAAAGATTAAAAACAAAAATGGACTTGACCCTCTTTGCATGGGGTAAAGGGGACTGCGCTTGGTGCCTGAAGAAGTCGTGTCCATAAATGCGTTTTAACAGACTTAATTTCAGAATTGGCTGACTAAAAAAGACAATTAAATGAAATACCCCCAAATCCATTCATGTTAAAAGCATTTCAGTTGAAACTTGGACGAAACAGTGGGGGGGGATCTGATTCAAACACAAAGCAGCAGACGATATTTGATCTTTGTGCCGTCCACAACCCGCATCAATCCACCTGAGAAATAAAGTAAACTGTCTGTGCTCCATATTTATATGCTATGTTGTTTCTCCTGTTCTGAAATGTTGTACGTTTTCGTATGTATATATGTATATACACATATATATATATATATATACACATATATACATATACACACATATATACATATACACATACATACATATACTGTATATATACATATATACATATACACACACATATACATATATATATATATATATATATATATATATATATATAATACATACATACCTATATATATATATACATACATATATATATATATATACATACATATATATATATATACATACATATATATATATACATACATATATATATATATATACACATATATATATACATACACATATATATATATATACACATATATATATATAT